CCCCCCCCTGGAATTCTAGGAGAACTGCAAGGAAAGTTTTCTGTTTGACTTCCCCGTGAACTGTATAGTGAATAATAAATGTTCTTTAAGTAAAGATACTGGTGACTAACTAGACATATGAATTTTTTTATAGACATTCAGGTTTTTATTAGGAGTCTCATGCAGAAACAAATAGCTAGCTGACTAAAACTAGACTGGCACACGCCTGTGGTTTTACAGTACTAACGTCTTGCAACTCCCACATCTCAATCTCCCCATTAACTGAATCTTCAACATTACAATTCCAACGTTTTTCATTCGTTTCTCCAGAACCTACACCACTAGTACTGTACACACTGAAGCTGTATAACGATTTTTATTTAAAAAAAAAAAAATGCATAGATCTGTTTCATGTGTTTAGGTGCGAGCTGCCAACTTGCAGGACCTAGTTTATAAAAATGGGCAAGCTGGAATTACTAAAGCAACCGTTTCTATCACCTTTGATAATTCTGACAAGAAACAAAGTCCATTGGGATTTGAAGCTAACGATGAGATTATTGTCACTAGGCAGGTGAGTCTGTATTTGTTCAGAAACCTGTATACACTTCTGATGTTCTCAACAGAGTGACTTTCAAGAAAAAGTTAATTTTTTCAAGCCCCTGAGTTTTTGCAGTTAAAGCAGTGCTTCTGCAATGAAGTTAGTAACAGAAAGTATCAAAGTAGATCCAGTGTAGTAGATAATATTAATTGCCTTAGTAATTCCAATTTTTAAATGCGTTAATAATTTTTTTCTACTTACATAGAAACATAATAATAATGGAATAAAGTTCCTGAAGCAAGTTATAATTTTCTCTTCTGTGTTTTTTTTCTCTTCTGCTTTCATCAAAGTTAAATTTGTTTTCTAAGATCATAGAAACCTTTATTTTTCTGATGAAAACATCACCCAGGTAAAAGGCTGCGACACCTTGTGAAATCTGGAAATTTTTTTTTCAATTAAGAGTAAAAATATTAGCCTTGATGACTCTCTCACTTTTACGTAAGGTATTTTAAACACCTTTTCACACTAGCAGGATCTAGTCTCTTCTGTGCGGTATGCTTGTGTATATGTATACACATAGCTAGGATTTGCTCAGGTTTTGGTTCTTGTAATTCATTGCAGCTTATGTTGTCATAATATCAAGCCGTTTTTAGATTTCTTATTTCTTCCCTTTTCTCTGTCCAGGTTGTCATTGGAGGTAGAAATAAGTATCTCATCAATGGTGTAAATGCTACCAACACCCGTGTGCAGGATCTCTTCTGTTCTGTTGGACTCAATGTCAATAATCCTCACTTCCTCATTATGCAGGTATTGTGCACATCTTTCTAAAATCCAACAAGAATAGAAATTATGCAAAACTTGGGGGAGGACAGATAGTGGAAGAACACTTCATCTTGTAATAGGAAAAAAACCAAGTTCTGGTCAGGTAAAAATGATAAATATCTATTCAGTAGTTAAGGTTTCCAGTACAGCTGAAATAGTTTGACCCTAAAATGCAATTTTTAGCTCTCCCTTTTTTCCTCCCCTCAGACTTCTTATAGTGAACTCTTTTAAGATATATGTCTGCATTAACATCATGCATAGCTTATTAATATTTAAAGGACTTTACTGTTTTTTCTTAACTCATCTTTTGATGCCAATAGCAATTTTCTTTCCCTTTTTGCTTCTTTTACGGCTACATGTTGCTGTCATTATTGCATTAAAAGCCAAATTTTTTTTCCCTTATGCGTGTTCCGTGTTAAACTATTTTGTACAGAGTTGATATCTGCTTTCTTAAGTTGCCGTTAACAAAGAAAGAGCTGGCCAGTTAAAAAGACCCTGATGAACATCAACAGAGGGACAAGGAACTAGAACAGAACAGAATTTACTGTTTCAAATAGAATTTTCCCAAATTCCTGCAACAAGAACAGTTTTGCACCCATTCTACACAGGCACTTCCCCCTAGTAACATATGAACTAAGCCTCCGAAAAGCAGTCTGATTAGGAGCCTCAAGGATCAGCAAGTCAGTAAGCACAGTAGTCTGTAATTAGGACGTAAGCAGGAGTTTGGAATAAGAGCTTAGGACAAGCTATAAGGGCAGTTTCAAGCTTATCGGCAGGAATGTGACTCATATTTGTTTGACCTTTCAGGAACAAAGTAATAAAAGTAAAGCAAGATTATCCTTATAGGGGGGGAAAAAAAATCTGTTTGATCTTGTAATATAGTGTATAAAAGTGAATATTTTGTACTATATTGGCTACTATATTGCCACTATAGCATGGCACACAAACACCATTCTTGTTTCATCTTTTTATCACTAGGGACGAATTACCAAAGTTCTAAACATGAAACCACCAGAGGTAAGACTGTTGTGAGAGGTTTTTTCTTGAGTTTTACTGATTTAATTTGAATGCCAAGAATCAAAATTTTGAAAAAGTTGGGGGGGCATAAGTTGTTCAACTCAATTTTGAGTTGATTATATTTCACTTGATAAGAAAAAAGTCACATTTTTGTCAAATTGCTTTATTTCAGATCTTAGCTATGATTGAAGAAGCAGCTGGCACTAGGATGTATGAATGCAAGAAAATAGCTGCCCAGAAGACCATAGAGAAAAAGGAAGCCAAACTGAAAGAAATTCAAACGGTATTATATGTTGAAAGAGTACTTTATTCTACTGTTCTGAAAGATAATACGATAACTAGTCTGGCATGTTTTTAATTTACAGAATATTTCATGTCTGTATTTGCAACTACGTATTCATGCTTAAAGATAAAAGAATTTTAAAAATCTGAAAGTAAATGTATTCTGTCTTCTGTTTCAGATCTTGGAGGAGGAGATCACTCCAACTTTACAGAAACTGAAAGAGGTACTGAAAATTAGATGTATGGCAGAGGTCTTAAAGTACTGAAAAAATAGCTTTAATTACTTTGAACTAGTGTACAGTGGCTAAAACTATTATGTGTTCTCAAGCTTTATGAAATCCTTTAAGTGATCTAAAAAAATTCTCTTCTGACCAAATACGGAAGATGTGACATTCAGGGCTTGACAGAAATTCTGGAAGGGAACATAGGGAGAAGGAAGAAAACAAAGAGAACTAGATACAAGTAGTAAACAAAACATATC